GAAGCACCAGACTTAACGACTAGGAGGAAAAGCATAAGCAGCAAAGACACAAAGATTTACCTGCAAAAGGATCCTGGAGTTGCTCCCTGCAGGAGCATGGAGGCAGAGGGTTCTCACACCTCTTCCTGAGAAGCCAGCCCTAGGCTGGCTCAGAGAAAGGACCTGCTCCACATCCAGTTTCACAAAGGAGGACCATGCGAAGTCCTATGAGAAATCTTTGACTTAGAGAAAGAGAGATTATTTCCTCCAGATTTCAGGCCAAGCTACTCAAAGAAAGGCCTTAGTATTCACGCTTTGCACAAAGAACGTGAGCTCTCCAGCAAAACCATGTGGAGGGAATCGCAACCACACTTTGCAATCAGTCACGAGACAGGCTCAGTAACAGCTAAGGTGCTGCTCAAGGCGATTAAATTGGGACTGATTCAATGCACATGCGATGAGCCTCTCTCTTTAGCCAGAAGGTCCCTTTCTTCTGTTTTCAACCAGAGGAGAGGCTTGTCCTACATTTAGCGATTCAGGATTAATCTGTACAGTATATCCCTGTTACAGAGACACTATTTGTGTGTACTTTGCATTGCATTACCAGACACTGTTAAACAGTTATAGTAAGAAAACAGAACACTGGATCAAAGCCTTAACAGGTGATGGTCTGCAGAGATAGGAGGGTAAATGCAGGTGAAGATAAATAGCTGATGTATTTATTTATTATCTATCGTGGTGGACATTTTCCAAACGCTAGAACAAAGCCTTCAGGCCCTATACAACAAAGAAGGATCTGAGGAGAGAGGACCATTTCCCGCACAGCTTTGGTTATTTGCTGTATGTGACAATAGCTTGCTAATAGCAAGTGAGACAAAACACTTCTGATGATGTATCAGAGGAACAAAAGAACAAAAGCAAAAGTCTCTTCTATAAAAAGATGCTTCCAGGAAACCAGCAAATCACTGCTGACTGTAGAGGCTGTGAAAATCTGAGTCAGACACAGATTTGAACCGGTAGAGTGCAAAGGCGCTCCCGCTCGTGCCACAGTAGCCTAGTTTCTGACATGGCAATCTTATTTAGAAAAGCCTCCATTTTTCAAAACAGGTTTGCAGCACATTTCCATAGACTGGGTATTTCTCCTCCTTGTAGGGTCCAAACCATACCACTTTTGTGACACATCTGTACAGCAACTGCTCTTCCAGCATTTAACTGTGAAATCACTCTTCTCCCAAAATCTCTACAGCATCTATTACCAATTCCATAATCTGTTTACTTAGTTATGTACAAAAAATGCCAGAGGATGCTCTCTGCAGAACAAAAGCGACACGGGAGCTAGGAAATCGCATTGCAACCTTATTCAAAGTGCCTTTGTACACCTTATTTAACCAGCTGATCACACGCCTCTCTCCCCCTGCTCTGAACTGTATTCAGAAGATGGGGATGTTACCTTTTCCTCAATGTTTATCACATAGTCTTTGCAATATCTTTGATCCACGACGTACATAAAATAGTTTTTATAGTACTAGGAAGGGTCTTTTCCTCATGTAGGCCTGTTACACAGCAATAAACAGCACCGACAGCCATGAAGGCAGTGCAAGACCCCTCACAGCTTTTCCTATTAGATACACGGGAAGCATTTACTTCAGCTGGTGAAATCTTTCTGTGCAAAAACGGTTAATGCGGCACTAAGCAGAGTCTACAAGTACGCTATTTTTACACAGTACAGTAACTAATATGCTCATGTTTTTAAAGGGATTCAGGCCTCGGAGCAGCAGCGCCGGGCCGGGGCTGCAGCGAGGAAAGGGAGCGGCCTCGGCACCGCCCGCCGCGCTGG